AAAAATTAGTTATTTTAACTTGTTGCATTTGTTATAGGACAATCTTATGAAATCAAGTTAAAGAAAGTGGGAGATCTAAGTGAGGTTAAGGGGAAAATGCTGAAAACCATTCTGCGCGTCTGCTTTCACGACCGAAGACTGCAGTACATGGAAAGGGAGCTCATTGACCAGTGGAAAGAGCAACGACCATCGGAGAGAGTTCTTGAGATTGACACACCTCTAAGCTTTGGCGTCTATGACGTTCGCAATGATCCAAGGCAAATCAACAAGTCAGAGTTCTTCTGGGATCCTACCAAAGAGACCGGTGTCTTCATCAAGGTAAGCATACTCTGGTTATTCTTTTTAGCCATTTCAACTAACTCTTTATTTTGCAGATCAACTGCATCAGCACTGAGTTCACTCCGAAGAAGCACGGCGGCGAAAAAGGAGTTCCTTTTCGCATTGTCATTGAGACGTACTGCAAAGAGTCCACTGAGGTAAACAGCTGCCTTCACACTGCCTCCTGTCAGGTGAAGGTCTTCAAGCCAAAGGGTGCCGACAGGAAGCACAAGACCGACCGAGAGAAGATGAACAAGAAGCCACCACAGGAGCAGGAAAAGTTTCAGCCCTCCTACGACTGCACCGTCTTCACTGACTGCACAATGGACACCTTCAATGTGTACAGTGTGACGGGGGCAGGCCTGGTGTCCACACCGACGCCCAGCGTTGACTCAGAGGTGGCCGATCAGCTGCCGCTGATGAGCAGTAAGAACTTGAACTTGACCGTTGCCAGCAAGAGTGGCCCCTTCGGCAAAACTGGCGGCGGCAGTGGTGGCGGCGGCCTACTGGCGGCCAATGCCTCGGTGAGCAACGTCTCCAGTCCACTGAGTGATAAGAACAGCAACAGCAAGCCGTGCGCCTTCAACATCTTCGCCGACATCAACGAGAACAGCTTTGACCTCAACTTTACCAACTTCACGCAGATGCACAGTCTGGCACATACGCTGTCCACCACCACGCACCTCACCTCTGCTTCGCCCGCCGAGGTGACCGTCAAATGGCTGAAGGAGAACCGCTTCGACGCCCACCTGGACACCTTCAGCCAGTTCAGCGGAAAGGACATTCTGGTGCTCAGCAAAGACGAACTGATTCGAATTTGCGGCCTCACAGACGGCATCAGACTTTACAATGGTCTGCACGCGAGGAACGTCAAACCGAAGCTTACCATTTATTTAAGCCTGCCTGATGATGAGGTCTTTCGCGCCTTTTACCTCGACACTTTAACAGTGGCTGAGCTGCAGGCGAAGATCCTCTCCACTCTACTGCTGTCCAAGTGCAACTACCTTAAGCGACTTTGCGTCATGGGACCAGCCGGCGTGAAAGTTCTCGTTTCTGATGATGTGGTGAAAAACCTGACTGAAGAATCACTGTACATTGTCGAGCTGACAAAAGGTAAGTTGCTCAACTGCTTGTTAGAACTGAGAGTGTGTCCCCCTCTAACTCATTCTTTCATTT